TGCAGGTCGCCGTGGAGAACATCATGAAGGAGAAGATGCCCAAGAAGGGAGGCCGCTGGTGGTTCAGCTGGAGGGGCCGGAACAGCGGCAGCAAGCCGGTGAGTTCTGGTTCTGCATGTAGAAAACCTGAACATGACCATGAGCTCTTTAACTCTTCATGTGAATCATTCTTTCTCCTGCAGGACTTGGCGTCGGAGCGAGGAGCCTGTGGTTCTGCTGAGCAGGTCGGGAAAATGACAAACCGGTAAGAGAGCTGGCCCGAGTCCAACCCGTCTCTCAGGTGTGATTCAGTGTTTAACTCTGTTCTCTGACGGCAGACACAAGGAGGAGTCTTCTTCCAGCGACGAAGACCACCGAGCTGCCAAGCAGAGCTCCGGTTCCGTCCAGTCAGAACCTGGACTCGCGTCGGGAGGCGTCTCGTACAAGAAAACGCTCCGACTCACGTCAGAGCAGCTGGTGAGGACACGAACTGTTCATTAATGTAATAAAATTTCCACCGTTAATCAGATAAAACCGACTCACAGCGCCGTCACAAAAAACAGATGAGAAGTTAAAGGAAATCTGTTGTATTTGTGCAGAGACGAGAACTTTTTGAATCCTCTGATGTCAAATACGCTGCAAACAATGAATGGTTTAGGTTTCATTTTTTTAAATAATTTACCATAATTTGACAGATTTTCCCTGTTTTGTTTAATTACAGATAGTTATGATTAAAAAAATTACACTTTTTGCTGCATTTAAATCAGCTAAAAGTCAAATTATTCTACAGATATTCATACATGAAGAGGCACTTAGACTGTAGTTCTGCCCTTTAACATTCTGACTCTCTGCTGCCCCCTACTGTTAGTGTATTATTACACTATTCTGACTCTCTGCTGCCCCCTTCTGCCTCCAGCTGTCTCTGCAGCTGCAGGACGGACCCAACGACGCCGTGTTCAGCGTGACCACCCAGTACCAGGGGACCTGCCGCTGCCAGGGAACCATCTACCTGTGGAACTGGGACGACAAGATCATCATCTCCGACATCGACGGAACCATCACCAGGTGAGCCGCTCAGGTGTCCGAAGGCCAGACAGGAAGCAGAACGTTCTGCAGTCGAGATAGAAGTGGTCTGCATATGTTCTGTAAAATCAATTTTATTTTGAAAGGCATGTTTCATGAGCCCTGATCAGTGGTGTTTAACGTCTTAGAGCTTTTACTTTGAAAGTCTACCAATCGGCCAATCAGTGAGCAGAGCGGAGCCGACTGAGTCGTTTATGTCAGTTTGAGTTCGGTTCCAGACATGTTTATTTCCAGAGTGTGTAACTCTGAGGTGGACGTTCTGTCTGTGTTCAGGTCGGACACGTTGGGCCACATCCTGCCCACGCTGGGGAAGGACTGGACCCACCAGGGCATCGCTCAGCTCTACCACAAAGTCAGCCAGTAAGAACCGGCCGCCGCCGCCGCATCACCACGACGACCGACGGTGTCGAGTTGTTTTTGTTAAACCCTCCGTTGTGTGTCTGAAACAGAAACGGCTACAAGTTCCTGTACTGCTCGGCCCGAGCCATCGGCATGGCCGACATGACCCGCGGCTACCTGCACTGGGTCAACGAGAGGGGCACCATGCTGCCGGTCGGCCCGGTTCTGCTGAGCCCCAGCAGCCTGTTCTC